ACCCACCTTCGAATGCTGAATATTCATTGTACACATACATCGTATACATACATTGCACCAATTTGAAGTAGATCTTGTATTTTGGTGTATACACCCGTTTTGAATCGGAATATTGAACTTTTTCTTGACTGAGGTCCTTCAGTAGATGTGTTTCAACAAATTTCCAACCAAAAAGGAATTTTGGAACTTTTGACCCTAAGGGCTGATTTCGCTGGTTGAGGCCCATATTATGTGTAGGTAGCATTGCGTGTTCTAGGCCTAAGACCTATCATTCAAGCAACATCTGCATCCACACCCTGGTGGCTAGGTGGTCAAGATAGGTGCTTGGGGAATCTTATGGTTGCAGGTTCGATTCCTGCTGAAAATTCTTTCTTCTCTTCAATTTTTTTCTCTTTCAATTGGAGAGAAAATTTCTAAGTCCCTTGAAAGTTGAAAAGTTACAACCTCTAAGTGGGTAATATAGCAAAGTAGAGTTGCGCTCGATGAAATCCGACCCGGAGTGCAACTTGCACGGCCCTTGACGCCCTGGAAGTGGCACGAATGTGGCTGGACGTACACATGTACAAATACAATGATGTAATCGGAACTGGTCCAGGGTGTCAGCTTTGCACTTTGGGTCGGATTTCAGTGAGTGCAACTGTATATACCCCAAGTTAAAGTGGTGAATATGTATAGATTATAGACCAACTATGAGGTCTATAATCTATTTATCGTGTTCTCCACGCAATAGTTTCTCTCCATATACGACATATCCTTGTAATTCTAGTATTATACTATAGCCTATACCGCATTGTACGGCAGTGCAGGATCAAGGTCAATGTTTAAATTAGGGTCAGCATCGGTAGCACTGTGGGTGGTTGGTAAGGAAGAGTGACTGAGATTCACATGGTTGTGGGTTCGAATCCAATCTTGTGTATTTCTGCTTTCTTCAAAAATTTCTTTTTCTAAGTTGGAGAGAAAAGTCCAAGAAATTCTAAGAGTCAAAAAAAAGGACCATCTCATAAGTTCGCATTTTTTATTATTATTTATTCACAATCACGTGGCACTAGCCAATGAAATGGTGATGTGGGCGATAGCCAGCCATGGCGGTAATAGAGCTAGAGGGGAGAAAGGAAAAGAATGAAAGGGGAACTGAAAAGCAAGAGAAGCTAGGGCAGGGCTGGATATCAACTAGTATGTTGCATTCTGCAGTAGCTGTGTGAATGTATTGTAACATTGGCAGGAATTTAGATGTTGTAGGAGGAGAGACCAATGGCGGTAAGCAAGGAAGAGAGGAGATGTTATCAAAGAGGCAGACCGCGCAATAGGGAAGCGGACAGAGTTTCTGGTGCGCATGTCTAGAGATTGAGCAAACCAGCTTAGGCAGGAGAGAGCATGAAGAGGAGCAATGCCCAGCTTAATTTTATGAATTGTCTGGCATGCCAAAAAACGCACGCGGACCGAGAGCGGCACAGCAGAAGCAAGGCGGTATAAGTCTGCGCTTGGAGTCAGGCGAGGAAGCCGAAATAATATTTTCAAAAGACGCCTATGCATAACTTCGAGTCGAGCAATCAGTGTTTTAGAAATGCCAGCCCAAATTATGCAGCAGTAATCAAAAATAGGCAGAATGTAAGATGTGTAGATAACATGGCGACAGTCGGTGTGGAGGTGGGTGATGTGTGATGAGAGAAATCCCATTACTGAGCTAACACGGCTGTCTAAATGTTCGATCTGGGATTTCCAGGTTAAGTGTTGGTCAATAATGACGCCAAGATGCTTGTGTTTTTCAATGATGCAGAGCGGGGTTGTGGTGCCTGGAAAGGTGAAGGGACTGGTTACTAATGAAGATAGGTCACAGGAAAAACTGGGGGGGGGGGGGGGGGATACACATTACAGCAGTTTTCGAAGAGTTGGGCTGCAATTTCCATTTTTCCATCCAATGAATAACGCCATCTATGTTGGACTGTAACTTGGCACTAGCCTCGGGGAGAGTGGGTGCTGTCACAAGTAGTGCTGTATCATCAGCATATAGTGATGTGTGATCCATTTCTGCCAGATCGTTTACATACATAAGAAAGAGGAGAGGCCCCAGGATTGATCCCTGAGGAACTCCAGACTGTACATGCCCTTTGGCAGACAGAGCAGAGCCGACACGCACCCTTTGCTGTCTGCCCGTCAGGTAAGTACTAAGCCACGTGAAGCAAGTACCATGGATTCCATGGCGCGACAGCTTGTATAGGAGCCCGCGTGTCCATACTGTGTCGAAGGCCTTGCTTAGATCAAAGAAACATAGCATGCTGTAATGGCCGTTCTCACGAACAGAAGACATCGATTGAACAAGTCTGAGAAGCTGCCAGGACGTAGAGTCGCCTTTTCGGAATCCAGACTGGGACGGATGTAGAACAGGAGACAGGTAAGTGTATAAGTGGTTGTACATAATACGTTCACACAGCTTGGAGATTGTTGACAATAACGAGATCGGGCGGTAATTCGATGCATCGAGCTTACTTCCCTTGCTCTTAAAGACCGAAGTTACAATTGCGTGTTTCCAAATAGCAGGGAAAGCACCAGTTGCAAAAGTGAGGTTAAAGATGAGGCTGAGAGGGTATGCAATACTGGAACAAAATAGTTTCAGGAGTTCATGAGAAATACCGTCCGCTCCCGCAGCCTTTCGGGTCTTAAGGTTGCGGATTTGCTTTGCCACAGCAAAAGGCGTGGTGGTGACATCTTGCAACGTAGGTGTGGTTCTTCCACGTGATGGGGCGTCGGGTGGCTTGAAGTATGGCACATTCCATGAAGGATCATCTTGTGTTCTAAAACCAATAAACTGTTCGTTCAAAGCATCTGCCACATCCACAGGGTCAGAATATAGAGTACCAGCGACAGAGAGCTGAGTTACAGTCGTTCTGCTGTTGCCTTGGGGAGATCGAAGCTTCCGGACAAACTGGAATAAACTTGGTGATGCGGGTCTTGCCGTGGATGCACTTAAGGATGAGATGTACAGTCGATGGGCAGTTCGAGACATATTGCGAGTAACGTTTCGTTCTCGTCTGTAAATAGCGAAGTTGTCAGCCGAGGGAAACTTTCGGTAAACACTATACGAATCTCGTTTTTTCTTTATTTGATGTCGGAGGGTACTGATTAGCCAGGGGGGGGGGGGGGGGGGGGTTCATATGGATACGCTTGACAGCCGGCGGCTTCCGCCTGGGCAGAAATCTTGCACAGATGTTATGGAAGATAGAGTAAAAGTTGTCCACAGATATGTCAGGATCGCGCCTCGCCAGGCTCAAAGCTGCTGGCCAATGTATGTGGGACATGGCAGTATTCATACTCGCGACAGTGTTGCTGTCTAGAGAATCCAAAGAAAATACACTAAAATCAGGGACATCCAGGGGAGTCGAACGAGCATCACGAGAACGATATGCGAACTTATGAGATGCTCCCTAAGTAGTCAAATATATCGTGTATTTGACTAAGCAGTCAAATACGCGATATATATGACCGCTTATGTACCGGTCTGCTCTCGATATAACAACTCTCACTTGTACATAAACGTCGCTAGTAAGTAAAAAAATCAAATCCCGCGCCGAAACAGCATCACTCCCATACAAGTTTTGTTCTACACAACATAATCCTACATAACATAAACCTCGACATAACACACGCTACGGCGCGGTCCCCGACGTGCGCACTCTCGATACAACATAAATTCACGTGCACGGTACGATCAAGCGGTAGCTGTAGCTTGGCAGTTTAGTCCTACATAACGTAAACCTCGGCATAACGCACCCTGTGGCGCGGTCCCCGACGTGCGCACTCTCGATACAACGTAGATTCACGATCAAGCTGTAGCCGTAGCTAGCCAGTTTAGTCCTATTGTGCATATATTCTGCGGCATTGATGGTATCTGATGTCGATGGTGGTACAGTGTGTATATGTTTGCACGGTTAAACCCACCTTGTAATACCCTTCATTTTGAGGTACATCTTGTATTTTACACACGGTTGTCTACATAACATAACTCTCGATATAACATAATTTGTGCGTGGTCCCAGAGATTACGCATATGGAGAGTAGACATGTATCAGGGAAAATAGTGGGATCAAATACTAAGAAGGCGATAAGGAGATATATTCACCAGATATAGATCACAGGAATAAGTGGGGCTTCGTATTTCTTTCCAGAAAATCTCCCCATACAGCAGGGAGTCCTTTACATAATATGACTCCCTGCTATACATCTACATGACTGTATACGTTATAATTATTATGCTATCGGCCTACATGCGATTCCCGGGCTGGTCGACAGGCGGCCAAGCCAGGCTGCTAGTGGGATCTCGGCCTCGCACACAAATCCACACAAAATGTTACTGCACTGAATGCATTCCCCCGATACACTTCGCATATATACTCATTCTCTTGATGGTACCGTACTCTTGATGGTACGGGACAGGTACGGGATAGCGTCAGGCATGTCGATGGCACAAACAAACAAAAATATTGCGACCAGCTGTCTTTGCTTGTACGGTACGGTACGGGACAGATACGGGATAGCGCCAGGCGTGACACAAACAAACAAACACACAAACAAACACCAAATTAAAGCTGTGTGGACCCTGGCTAGCGCCAGACGTTACAGAAGTAACGTCTTCTGCATAGCTTCGGGAATTAATTGTAATTTGTAACCACCTTGCTCGGCATCATTACACATTACTGCATGTGTTCTCTGTGTTTTCTTCACTGCATGCTTACACATACACACACCCATTTGGATCATATACAAACTTTGTGCTTTTGAATTATCATGTTATGATTCTTTTTAATATTTCCTTCTCTCATAATATTATATTCGTTCTTAGCAGGAACCGGAGGTTTTTCCTCTGGTGAGAAGGCAGAATTGCCTGTGCTCTAAACGAATTCAAATAAAAGAAACAAACAAACAAAAACCTGTTTCAGGACTACAAGTTGATGCAAAAACTACATGTAAAATACTTGTAGGAGGAAAAATCAAGGCAGCTTTACCTTTCGTTTCGCATATGACTGAATGTGAGTGTGATGGCCTGTAGCTAAACCCATCAGAAGCCAACGATGTCTCACATGTGGTAGGCCCGTATTCAAATTTGCCACAGTTCACCCATGCTGTAGGTAAATCATTAAGCTTTTGTTCATCCCTAATCCTTTCAATCATTTTTCCCATGCAACCACGGGTTAAAGAGAGTTTACTTGCAACAGTTGATCCGGTAACAGAGCGACATTCCTCCAGGGCCTCATTATAAGTCTTCAGCCCGACTTCTTTGTACTGTAGCAAGGCCCGTTCGCAAAACATCTCAACTGCAAGAACATAGAAATAGAGAAAGCAAACAGCAGCGGTAGAGTGAGCTGAGAGAAATTCAGCCTCCCAGAACATCAGATGACAAGAAATGAGATGGCAAATTGCAAGTTTGATTTCCATCCTGGTAGAAGTTGTAAGTTACATAAATTTACTTGGCTTACTTGCTTGTCCATGCACAGTCCATATGGTAAGGAGCTGTAGGAGTAGTAGCAGTCCAAGCGGAAGGGATGACGCCATCTAGGCAGAATATTACAAAAAGGCCTGTTTAAGTGTTCCAGCTCACCACCAGAAGTGTGTTCATAAGTCTGACAGGGATAAATCAAGCGTATGTTTGTACTGCATATACGTATTACATATACCCCATAGAACTAAAATGTCAACATTTCCTAGCGACTTGGTCTGTGTAGGCAAGGTGTTATGAAAATATGCCACAACTCATAATATGAGTCATGACGAACAATTACAAATGGCCACAAATTGTGCAGTGCTGCACCATTTCCCAGCACCAGTCCGGATGATACGGAAAATGGAAGGCACCAAAACATTATCCACTCCATGGGTAGGGGTAAGCGGATTATGCTCTGAAAATGACCAGATCCTCCGATGCTCTAGCGGATGCTCGCAGGATACTCGAGAAAACAGCCAATTATGCTTTTACAGGCTTCACCAAAAGGGCCAGAAGAAAACATAATCGTCATGAAAAGGACTCAGACCATTGTCATGAGGTTGATTGGAAGCTTTGTGGAAGAACAAGACAATATTAATTATACAAGAGGAATACGAAATTCACAAGCAAACGCTGAACTTTTGAGCGATGTCCTATAACTATAAGTTCGTGCATGGCAGGGAGGGCCTTATGGCTTGTTAGTGCCCGACAGGTAAGGCTGAGGGCCGTAGGCCTGTGTGCTACCTTGAAGGGCACGAACAAGCCATAAGACCCTCACTGCCATGCACTAACTATTTTAGAACGAGGTTACATGCATTATCGCACTTCCATTATGCTTTGTGTACCACACTGAAGAGTCTATGCAGCAAGAAATCAGGATCAGCAATGCAGGTGATCAAAGCAGCAGACGGATTCACTTTAGCGAAAAAGGAAGAAGTAGCTCAGCGGTGGTGTGAGTACGGTGCATCTTTGTACAACGTGGACCTGAACGTAGATGATAAAGTCCTTGACGCAATCGTTACTCCAGCCATGTCAGATAATGCCAACAACAATCCCATTCTGAGGACCGAAGTCGAATCCGCTGTCAACTTCCTCAAGAACAACAAATCAGCGGGGTTCGATAACATTCCTGGCGAGCTTTTGCGACATGGTGGAGATACGTTGCTGGCTGTTTTGCACAGGATTTGTGCAGTATGTATCGGCGGCATGTGCGTGACCAACCTACGTTTTGCGGATGATATAGATCTAATCGCATCGTCTGTGAAAGAGCTGATGGACCTGACCCAGCGCGTGGATACGAGTGCAACAAGACTAGGCATGCAGATCAATGCTTCCAAGACCAAGTCAATGGCAGCGCCGGAGGGTGGTGGTGATCTGGGGTGCATTCAAGTAGGCAATGAGCGAATAGAAGAAGTATCCCAGTTTAAATACTTAGGTGCCGTAATCACGTCGGATGGCAAGTCCGATGTGGATATATGAAGACGCTTAGCACTAGGGAAGCAAAAGATCATTGAGCTTCAATTCATTTGGAAATCGCCATCACTTTCTTTGCCTACTAAATTTCGTTTAGTTAGGTCTATTGTGCTAGCGACTGTTTTATACGGATGCCAATCTTGGACATTATCTGCCTCATCAATGAGAAGAATTTCATCCTTCGAGATGAAATGCTTCCGCCGACTATTAGGAGTAACATACCACGACCGGTGTACCAACCAATCTATCCTGGAAGAAATCAATGACATCGGAGCAAGGATGCGGCTAGCGAACGAAGTCAAGAAATTTAAGTTGATGTTGTTTGGCCATGTTACGAGACATGACGTTTCCTCCAAGCCCTTCCTGCAAGGATCAACTCCTGGATCTCGACCGAGAGGAAGGCCCGCGACATCATGGATTTCTAACATTAAAAGTTGGACGGGTCTTCCCTTGCATGCTCTCTCTCATGCAGCACGCGATAGAGTTGGATTCAGAGACATCATTCACAATTCTCACGCTGATTAATGCCTCTACGATCACCTTGTGATTATGAGTTATACATACATACATACATACATATTCGGTAGTTTTGTGGTTTGTGTGCAGAGAGACTTGGTGTGATATGAAAGAATATTTTCTGCTGGTAAGTTATGGTAACTCAGGACCACTTAGGACTACTAAAAGTAGAATAGAAGCAAATGAAATGCTGGGCTCTTATGGCGAGCTTCATTCTTATTCATAGCTTGTGGAGCTATTTAGGGCCTTTGAGAGCCCCTTGTTGATACCTCTAATGACTTTGATCTTCGGTTTTTATAGGTTTCCGCAATCTGTTGACAAAGGAAATTCGTAAAGATGAAAGAATACGGGAGGCAAAAACCGTACACACTTCTGAAATGCGTAGCTTTTAGTAGTACATCGTACATTTTAGGCAGAGTTCATTATCTGCACCGTACTATAATGCATACAGGGAGTTGTACGCACCAGTTTAGAGTATCAAGTGCATTTGGTATAGGAAATCCATAACATTGAGAAGGATGCCAATAACTCACAACGAGGGCACAATTTGTATGTGCAAGTTATGTTTTCTTGGAAGTCTGGTACTACTTCTTGACGATGGAAAAAATTATGTTCGCATACCACAGACATACGCTACTAAATTGGCACCTATACGTCTAAACACGGAAATTGTGCACAATGCAAATCGTCAGATTCCGACATTGACATGAAACTGCCAAAACAAGTCGACTTCAGATCGGAAACGAACGCCATAGCCATCACAGACTTTAGTGGCCGTGCCTCGCTCGCAATTGAGAGCAGCATCGCCCCAAAATCGCTGTCCGATGGCTCCGTAAGGTCGTGCGCAAGTCGCGCAGCGCTGCCGTCACTCAGGTACGTAGAAAGTCGATGGCCTAAAATTCCGTCTCTGGAAGACTGTCGACACGGGGATCACTCTCCATGGCTTCCACACCATAAGCACCATCAGATTCTTCCAGGTACATTACGACGACATCGTCTTCAGCGGCTGGAGCTCCCGATATTTGCGTGAGAATTTACTTGGCGTGCGCTCCGCTCCGCAATTTGAAATTCGCTTGCATCGGTGGCTGGAATGAAGTATTTATCTATCTGTCATGGGTCCCAGAGCGAAGGTCTGCTAGGTCCTCGTCGGAGAAGTCATCTGAGGACGAAAGGAACTCACAGCGCAAGAGGAAATGCACCTGACGACGTTTTGACGGAGGCAGACGGCATTGTCGGCGCGCGTGTATTTCCGTAAATTTTCGATCACGCAGTTCTCAATGAAATCAAATGGGACATGCGTAGATCTCTTCAGCTACGGATAGGATCATACCTAGGCTGTGTGAGTGCCACGGGAAATCCCCGTGGGCTGATGCTTCCTGCCATACCAGGCATGGTTTCAGTATGCATGTCGAATGCGTCGTTTACGACGCATTCAAGTATGGGGCTGCCGGTAAAGGGTTAAGCCTAGTTTACATTCGACGCAACGCCGACGGTATGGGACGTAAGGGCTTGTCGGGAGGGCTGGGGTGAGCTGTAAAATCCTGTACGATTGGTACGACACGACATGCAGCAGTCGTTGCGACGTTCATTGTCGAACGGCGCGAGTCATAAGGCACGGTCCGTGACGGGGTGACTTCCGGACCTAATTTCTCGTTTTTCTTGACTTCTCTTCAATTATTTCTCCTTGAAAGAAGCGGAATCAAGTTCACAATACCAGTTTTTCATGAAGACCAAAAAATTAGCCCTGAAAGTTGTGGCATTCAAATAATAGCCCCAGGAAATGATAGAATAGTTCGTCTGTCACGCTTCTGAACTATCCCTAAATACAATAGGTGACATGAGATCTTATGAACTTAGAAGTTGCGACTTCGGCGGTAATAGTCATGAAGTTGATTGTTCCAACTAGGAACACACGCTTCTTGCCGAACTTGACACTTGACTGACTCACGACTGCCATCCGGAGCACACGAGCGTCTCTGTAAGTTTGTATCCCTGGTGATGGTTTGGCCTGGAGAGCAGTATATAAGTGGTGCTTTTCAGGCACAATCTTCCTCAGCCTACTCAAGCTCAACTGATGAGGGGTGAATTCCCCGAAACACCGTGTATTGAGCAGGGAGTGGTGCTTTCTTGCAGGTTTGCCGAGTGGAAGGTGCGACGTGCTCCTCGTGTGCTCCGGATGGCAGTCGTGAGTCAGTCAAGTGTCAAGTTCGGCAAGAAGCGTGTGTTCCTAGTTGGAACAATCAACTTCATGAGATCTTATGTTGCTAAAATTCAACTCAAGTCGTGCTAGCCATTCTGTGACTTATCATGGGAAGCGCAGTGTTCAAAATGCTAAAAATTTCCAAGTATGAATCGGGAATAGTCGGCGCACGACGCCGTCTCCTGTTCACACTCGAATTGCAGCCGTTTTGTACGCTTGCATTCCCGTCTACGCCCGTCTACGGTATGAAAATTTGGATCGATCCAACTCTTCCCGTCGCTTCCCGATCTGTACGGTAGAACGGTTGCGTTCCCGTTCCTGTTGTTCACATTGGACGCCGTCAGTCCGTCCCGTCGCTTCCCGTCGATCCTTCCGTCGCGTCCCGTCGTGCCCCGTCGAATGTGAACTACAGTCCATTCATTGGAAACTGGCACCCTAACTTTTTGGTGTCTCTCTCACATAGTTGTAGATATCGTGAAAACAACAGTACATCCTGCATTGTGTGACCCGTGCAATTACTCCTTGCCACATTTGAGGCCAGAAAAGTCCAAGAACAGGGAAATAGAAATTCAGCCCGGTTTTACAAAATTAGGACAGGTATGCCATGGCAAAATGTATGGAGAAGCAGATCCAAAACCCAGATTTTTGAGATTTAAAGTGGGTTTTTGATCCTCAATTCGGCCCAAATCCGACTTTCAAAAGCCAGCGGGCCAGTTTCCGATGAATGGACTGTAGGCTTTAAACTAATCCAAGGCCCTCGACGCGTCATCAAGAGTAGTAAAATAATGATTGAGCGGGCTTTAAACTCTGATAAGGCCCTTGGCGGGAATGTCGCTGATTGGTCGTTTCCTAGACAACGAGACGGACCTCGTTCTAATGGCTAATAACATATTATTCCAAATCCAAAAGTGGCGGTATGTATTTTTCCTTCAATTGCAGGTAAGTATATACATGTAACACGCTCGTTGGGCATGTGCCCTTGTTTTTCGGGTGCCATTTTATGCTCTTTTCAAACGGACCTGATTATGCCTTCAATTATGACTTAAAGTATGCCCTCAACAGCAAGTCTGTATAACAGCCTCTTTGTGAATCCGCCCTTGTTTTTCTGATGCTATTAACTGTTTTGCTCCTTCTAAAAAAAGACCTGATTATGCTAAAAATTATGCCGGCATGATCCGCTTATCCCTGTCCATGGGCACCTCACAAAACGTGCCGCAAAAATGATGTCTTTGTACCCCTCCCCCCCCCCCCCAACCTCTATTTCCCTCGCTCCTCTCCCTCACTCCCTCCCTCCCTCTCTCTCTCTTTTCTCTCTCTCTCTCTCTCTCTCTCTCTCTCTCTCTCTCTCTCTCTCTCTCTCTCTCTCTCTCTCTCTCTCTCTCTCTGTCTGTCTGTCTGTCTGTCTGTCTGTCTCTCTCTCTCTCTCTCTCTCTCTCTCTCTCTCTCTCTCTCTCTCTCTCTCTCTCTCTCTCTCTTCTCTCTCTCTCTCTCTCTCTCTCTCTCTCTCTAATACTGTCAGGGACCTACGGAAGCTGAAGTCTGATCTTTCTATATTATTTGGTTTTTGTAACCATATTTCTCTTCTCTTTCTCATTTCTGTTGCATTTTCAGATGCTCTCAAAAGTCTACCATTCATAGTATACCCCCTCGGCCCGCACATTCCATGTTGATTTCGAGACCGGATTAGTCGGTGCAGTGCACTGATCAGCACAGCTCTTGTACCATCTACTACTCCTTTGTTGTCTTTGTAATTTGTCCTTGTCTCTTTTATTACCCCTATCTACTGTCAGAAGATTCACTATTAAAGGAACAAACGGAATTATTACATGCACAGCACTGTCTAGTGCTATTTCCATATGCAGAATTAATTTTAGTCACTGCCTTGCGTGCATGCATTACCCTTGTCACACGATGTTTATCTTTTTGGAAACTATTCTTTATCACGTAGCTCAACATCATCTAATCAATATCCCCTTCCTTGGATCTATCCGGCACGAGCGAACCTGTGGGTTGACCCAATTGGATCCACCGACTTGAACCTGGCAATGCTTAAAGGGGAAGTCCGGTGAAAATTTTTAATTTCACAGTCCGTAGAGTTCGGGTCGCTGAGTCGAATGGTCTTTGTCCGAGGAGGCTGCGGCTTATGGTTTGTCAGATACGCCCAATCGAACATGAGCAAATTTGAGCGCACATCACCCAGATCCAGGTGATGACGTCACAGCGTGCAGCCAGGTAGCAACACCATCTAGTTGTGTACAAAAATGGCCATATTCGGAGCGCGTTCGATTGGGGAGCCGTTTGTCGCAGCTTCTTCGGACCAAGACCATTCGAATCAGTGTTACAAACACTACGTACCCTGTGATTTTCACCTCGGTAAACCTCAAGGTTATACCGTATTTTAGCCGTTTCCGAGTTGGACTTTTTCCGTCAGCTTCTACGCGCTCTGCCCTGCGTGCATGCAGGTGCGTGCAGTGTGTTATCTAGCTGAAGTAGTAGTGCAGTCAACAAACTTATCATCACAGACGGAACTACTAGTAGTAGTACTCCCGCACTGCCGTGCTGGGGTAGTATCTACAACAAGACTCGAGTCACAACTGACACAAGACTCAGAAAACTAGTCAACACACGGACTTGTCATGTACTACACTCGTATCAGTCGTATTGCACAGTTATGTAGTCAGAGAACGTGCGTTTCTCCTTGCAGTGCCGGTGGTTGTGCTTTGAGAAAGAAAATTTTAGTTTTCCGCTCCCGCAGTATTTTATGCTACAGCGATGAGTGCAGAACCGTGACAAGTGACAAAACAGCGAACAGCTCCCGGACCTAGAACTTTCAGATTCCATAGCGTTGCGAGCGAAGAGTCGTGCCCGTGGTTCAAAAAGCCTGCACTGTTCTCCAATTGAGTAGTCCGAAATATTCCAAGTTCGCACCAAAACATCACCATGTGGCAGGCTACTGGAGTCTAAGCGAATCTAATCGGTATGGAACAACATTTAGAGCACTCGCATCACTCTCCTCCATTTTGGCGACCCTGCTCTCCAGCGATCTGATAATTACATCAGCCTCGTCTGCAATAGCTGCTGCTTCTTCATCAGTCGGAAACTCAGTAGCGCTCACTCTTGACCGGCCCGCGCGGCCATTTCTTCAGCTGAATACCGAGGTTCTCAGCCCCAGACCGAACTCATGAAGGTCAGCCATGGCTGCATCCTCACTCTCACAAGGAGCTACAGGTCTTCGGGGTCGCTTGCACCACCTATTATCAGTCGCCAAATCATTTGAAATAGCACTGACACTACCGGTATTGCTTTCACGCACTCCTTTTGACCTAGCTGCACGCTATGACGTTGCAGAGGGTGTGGCGCGGCCGCATGACGTCATGGCGCAGCCCCCGAAACTCAGTTTTTCAAACGGAAATATCTCAAGAACGCTTTGTCGGAGACACGTGGGACCAACACCATTCGACTCAGCGCCCGAAACTCTGCCGACCCTGAAATTTAAATTTTTCACCGGACTTCCCCTTTAATAATAATATTACTTTGTAGGGATGTGCACATAGTATAATAGAACATCTGGAGACTAATCTTAAGGGGCAACAGCTGTAGAGCATGCATGATTATGACAAAACAAGTAAGAAAGTGAACAGCCCTTTTATGGCTGGAAGAGACACACACTGTTACGTGCTTCTGTTGTCTGTACCATTAATCGGATTTACAGTATGAGGTGCATGGAAATTGTTCACCTTTCCAAATGGAATCATTCGTGACAGCATTCAAATAGCCCCCTATAAATAGAAGGGTCCTCAATAGAAGGGTCCTCTTCGCTTTGTGAAGTAAAAATATCTGACCTGTGATCCAATTTGCTCTCACCATTTGTTGAACATGATATAATCACGGATTCATTCATGACGCAAAAGCATCGCAAAGCTACCCGAGGGGGTCTTAGACCAAAATCATAAAAAAAAATTGTGGAGAAAAACAAACAGCTACTGAGTAGGGGCTGCACTGGGCAGCAGTGATGGTGAGGTACCAGGGGCTCCACCGACCAAAGGTCTCGGCTTCAATGCGACACGCACGCGCCAGGAAAAGAACTAGAAATGTAAAGCGACGCTAGATCTAGCTATGGGGAAGTAGAATGGGTTTCCGGGGACAATCAACTACCGCAAGAGAGTCCCATCACGGAGAACTCCTCCAAATGAATTTTCACATGGGAAAGTCGTATGGCAGAATGCAACTAAGAGAACCTATTGCTGTGTTCATAACTGCCATGCGTACACATATAGGAATGCATTCCTGCATGTTTTTCCTGGAAGGTGAGGCGTACAGAAACGCGCCTCAGTGGGAATATCAACATTTTTATTATCTGGCACGTACTCGCATTACAGTCAAGTATGCCGTTAGCGACCTCTGCTGTAGGCGACCATCTACCGTTAGCGACCGATTTTCCGTGCACCGACGGTTTCACGTACAAATTGATCTGTCCAGACCGACCATCTGCTGTGCGCGACCAGCGACCGCGATTTCATGCACGGTGGCTGCATTCAAGTCTGCTGTAAGCGACCGCGACCCACGTTCAGTCAGGTGCGAAACTGTACTTGCCAGTGTGCTGTCAACTGCAAGGTGTGAAAATGCGCTGTCCTGCAAGTGCGCCCCTATTGGATATCCAATAAAATTATATCAAAAATCACATTATTCTCGTCGATTTGAGTACATGGAAGCATAATTATATGCATGCCCGGTATGCCGGATTTACCATACATCTGCCGTAAGAGACCGCTTTTTTTTGCACCAAGGGGCGGTCGCTTACGACAGATTTGACTGTATATGTAAGTCTAGTATTTTCCCCCGAAATCAACAAATTTGTACTCAAAGGCACACACTAAAATCACACACACTAAAATCCGGAGGTATGTGCAGTGTGATAGAAGAAAAAATATTCAAATCTCTGTTTTTGGGAAAGCCTGAAGGCGCATTTAAGTGGGCAAGAAAAGCAAAACACAGACACACACATACGCTCCTACATAAGTGCCATACGCAAACACACGCACACACACACACACACACACACACACGCACACACGTCCACAGGTAAGTGGACGCACGCACGCACACATGCCCTAGGGTTTCTGTCGAGGACTTCAAGGGCGTAGCTGTCTCAAGTTCATCACGAAAATGGAGAATCTAAGGGTCGCATGAAACATATAATCACTGAAGTCAAGTTCGAGATGCACTACTTGATCGCCGACAACTGAACTCTACGAAGAATGTGGCGGTTTGGCGGAAACGAAAACCGACAAAGCCACAAACGCAAGTACCTTTCGAGCACAATTTGACCGGAATGAAAGTGAGCTCGTCATCGCCAATGCGCATGCCGATCGGGTAAGCTCCTACAAAGCAAAGGCAACAAATTCGAAACACTAACCCTGGTCAGACTACAAGAGAGCGCGAGCACGACCATTTTCACTTTTCAACCACGGGCAATATCTTCCGCTCGAGCACGAGTTTTTCGCAGTCTGTCTTCTGGCGTATGTAAGCACAGCATTGAGCGCAAAACGCCATTGATCGCCCGCCGCTATTCCACAGGGTTACTCTCACTACCCGAGATGTTCAACGCCAGCGCAACATGATGTAGTTTGCAAGCCGCGTGATCACTTACCTTTCCAGTACCCGCCATGACGGAATAGAATGGATTCAGAGGTTGACTGGCGAGGGTACTTCGTCAGGAGCCTGTAGACCTTCGCGTTCAGGAACAGCCCTGAGCAGAGCAACGTAGGCCTGCGTCAAATTATGTCGAAATC